CATTTTAAATTAATAAACTAATTCAATTCAAAATGTATTTAATTAATTTCCAATTTAATTAAATATTATAATTTAATTTACATATAACTGAATTATTTTAGAATCACTTCAGCATTAGCAAACATTAAATAATGTCAGATTAGTTAATGCATACACAAATAGGTAGTAGAAATGTCATTTAATTTTAATAAATATATTTTCATATACACTACCGGCCGAAAGTTTAGAATAAGATTTTTTAATGTTTTTTTAGAAAAAAGTCTCTTATGCTTGCCAAGGCTGCATTTATTTGATCAAGAATACAGTAAAACATTAATATTGTAAAATATATTTGATATAATATGATATATTTTAAAATATAATTTATTCCTGTAATCAAAGCTGAATTTTCAGCATCATTACTCCAGTCTTCAGTGTCACATGATCCTTCAGAAATCATTCTAATATACTGATTTGCTGCTCAATTATTAATAATAATAAACAGCTTTTGCTGCTTAATATTTTTGTGAAACCTGTTGTTGTTTTTTTTGCTTGTTTTTTGATGAATAGGAAAAAAAACTTTAACTTGCATTACAGTTTCCACAAAAATATGAAGCAGCACAACTATTGATAATAATAATGCTTCTTGCGCAGCAAATCAGAATGAATCATCGGAATGATTTCTGAAGGATCATGTGACACTGAAGACTAAAGTACTGATGCTGAAAATTCAGCTTTGCATCACATGAATAAATCACATTTTAACATATATTACAACTGAAAACTATTTTAAATTATAATCAAATTTCAATTTTTACTGATATTATTAATAATAAACAGCTTTTGCTGCTTAATATTTTTGTGAAACCTGTTGTTGTTTTTTTTGCTTGTTTTTTGATGAATAGGAAAAAAAACTTTAACTTGCATTACAGTTTCCACAAAAATATGAAGCAGCACAACTATTGATAATAATAATGCTTCTTGCGCAGCAAATCAGAATGAATCATCGGAATGATTTCTGAAGGATCATGTGACACTGAAGACTAAAGTACTGATGCTGAAAATTCAGCTTTGCATCACATGAATAAATCACATTTTAACATATATTACAACTGAAAACTATTTTAAATTATAATCAAATTTCAATTTTTACTGATTATGCACTATTTTTGATCAAATTAATGCAGTCTTGGTAAGTATAAGAGACTCAAAACAATAAAATATCTTAATTATTTATTAACATATAAATATACATTAATTACTTGCCTATCCGTTAATCAGAATTATATTTTTAGTTGTTGTGTAGCACACATGTACCTCAAAGTAGGAGTTGTCCAAGTGATGGAGTTTTCCTTCAGCAGTCAGCATCCCGATGTACTCCAGAGCCAGCGAGACATAGCCGTGGGACGCCAGGAGCGCTGAGCGATACTCAACACGACCCCCCTGCCCTCCCCAGAGGTCCAGCACAGCAGGAAAGGGGCCAGAACCTGCATTACAAAACCACACACATATAAACGGATAGTCCCTCAAGTCTCTGTAGAAGTAGACAGAACGTACAATGATTTACATTCATCTAAATGTACAAGGTCAAATAAACGCTTCTCTTGTGGCACAATAAAAATACATATTTCGTGTTGTCTCTGAATGTTTTGAATTGAATCCTTCCCTTTTGTTCATTTTAATGCATCACTGCAGAATAAAAGTATTAATTTCTTTAAAAAATGACAGCATACTTTATATTATAATTAAATATATGTTAATTAATACATTTATTAAACTAACATATTATGTAATTTATTATTATATTTATGTTATTAGATTAAATAGAATTCAAAATTATTGCAAATACTATACTAGTGATACATGGGCAAGGACTGCATCTAATCGCTAATCCAAACCTGGAGGAATGAAGAGTGTCCCCTTTATCTCACCCTCTGTCACTTCAACCCTCTAGACTTCAGGGGCCAAATACCAGCATTCAGCAGTAGCTGATGTGAGGGGTATGTGATGCTTAAAGCCCCTAGCAAGGTGTCCTTCATACACAGAAAACGTCACTTTAACGTGTGTCTGGACATTGCTCTTCCTAAATCTGTCAATTCAAATTAGAATTATCTGTCAGTCCAGTCCATGATGGTAAAAGATTTTCCCATGCATTTTTCACTTCAGTTTCAAGTTAGACACAAATGCACCACATTGACATGCTACTTATTAAAAAGATAAAAATACTAGACTGTGACTGTGTGCTTAACAGCTTTAATTAGGGAAAGAATTACAATTTTATGAAGCATTGTAAAAAACTATTTAATTAAAAAACGATGGAGAAATCTAAAACTATCAATTTAAAGTTGTTAATTATAGGAACAACATATTTTAAGTTTATTGCTAAATCTGAATATACATACAAATATATAAGTATTTTTGAGACCGTGGGAAGACTCTATAATGTCATTAGCGTTGCTTCATGGAATAGGCGGACCTACTATTTAAATTAAAAACGATGGAGAAATCTAAAACTATCAATTTAAAGTTGTTAATTATAGGAACAACATATTTTAAGTTTATTGCTAAATCTGAATATACATACAAATATATAAGTATTTTTGAGACCGTGGGAAGACTCTATAATGTCATTAGCGTTGCTTCATGGAATAGGCGGACCTCTGTGCTCCTTTGGTGCATTTACTCATGGTGGCTCTCTGATTGGTAGAATTTTCTTTAAGCATCATGGGTAATGTAGTTTTTCACCAGGGATTCCGCTGTTAAATAGGGCTATTTTAAACATAAGTTGAAAAATTGCTAACTGAAATATTGTGAACAACAAAAGCATATTAAAGGGATAGTTCACCCCAAAATTTAAATTCCGTCATTAAATACTCACCCTCATGTCGTTCCAAACCCGTAAGACCTTGTTCATCTTCGGAACACAAATTAAGATTTTTTTTTTATGAAATCCGAGAGCTTTCTGACCCTGCATAGACAGCAAGGGTACTACCACGATCAAGGCCCAGAAACGTAGTAAGGACATCGTTAAAATGGTCCTTGCGACATCAGTGGTTCAACTGTACTATTATGAAGCTACGAGAATACTTTCTGAGCGCAAAGAAAACTAAAATAACAACTTTATTCAGCAATTCTTCTTCTCCGCATCACTCTTAGGGTGCCATTTAGGAGAGTACCACAATGCATGTGCACGCTCTCCTCTGAATGTAAACAAGGCACAGCGCCTGCGTGTTCTGTCTCAGCAGCATCAGGTGCATGCATGGTTTACGTGCAGAAAAAGGACATGCATGCATCGTGATACTATCCAAAATGGCACCCTAAGGGTGACGCATCAGAGAGCTCTCGGATTTCATCAAAAATATCTTAAAGGGGTCATATGATGCTGCTAAAAAGAACATTATTTTGTGTATTTGGTGTAATGAAATGTGTTTATGCGTTTTAAAGTTAAAAAAACACATTATTTTCCACATACTGTACATTATTGTTTCTCCTCTATGCCCCGCCTTTCTGAAACACGTCGATTTTTACAAAGCTCATCGGTCTGAAAAAGCGAGGTGTGCTGTGATTGGCCAGCTATCCAGTGCGTTGTGATTGGCCGAATACCTCAAGCGTGTGACGGAAATGTTACGCCTTTTATTCCTATGTCATTATTTGTTTATTTTTTTAATGTTAGCACCTTTATGATAAAATTACCATTTCGATTTACAAAGAAAAATAACAGTATACACTTTTGGTATGACGTACAGATAGTAAATGAAACCAGTTTAATTTAAGGTGAACTGTCCCTTTAAATTAGAAGTTCATGCACGGTTGTTTATCGCTCGCTTTATTAATTATTTACCGGCGACCTGGTTTACTTTTAGGAACAGGTTTCATACTCCACAGCAGACCCATGCCTTCAACTCCCTCAAATGTCCCGCCAAGACTTTTATCTCTGGAAACTGTGTATTAATGATCCAGTAAGTCCTTTTAGAATCAAAACTGTGACTGTGTGATGGTTTAAGATGTAGTAGTGTACCTTTAACAGGTAAGTGCTTAACTTCTACCTCCGTTTTCTCATCAACCAAGCAGCTTGAAGGATGAACATAAAGTACAGGACCGTGCTCAGCCATGTTATACCTCACAAATGGACAGCAGAGTCGCTTGGAAAGTCTGAATCAATCCAAACTGTGGCGAAGGCTTTTTATAAGACGTTTAAGCTGGTCATTGTCCTATAGCACGGTGGTTCACGCAGACAGCTCCTTTTTTGGACCTGAAGTTCATAGATAAACAAGCCCATAAAAACGTTACAGGTTATTGAAACCGATGATAAAAGTCTTATGTAGATAGTTTGACCAAAGTGACTGGATTTCCTGACATAAAATGTCATAAAACTTGACTAATTTTAGAACACTGAAATGAGCAAAATAATCAGGTCTGTAGGAAAACTGGGAATACTGTAGTCTTGTTATGCGGGAATTGTTGTTTGTTTACCTATTAATTATTTACTATCGTTTAAAGCAAATAAATAATGCAATCAAATCTGGATATTATTGATATTAATATCATTATGGTGGTTTTTGTTCTTATAACAGTTGTTATTTTTGTTATATAGTGATACATATTGTTGCAATTTGTGATAGTTGATTAGAAAACACATTTTAATAGAAATATTAATATATTAGGATTGATATTCTGCTCATTTATAAACATAAATGCAAACTATCACTGCTTATTTCTATATGAATATAGAAAGTATGTAATATATACATTTTAATTTAAAAAAATTATTGATATTTATCTTGCTGAGGTTGATTTATGCACTAATTTCCAGTTGAAATGCTGTTGTTTCACTGGAAGATCAAGCTAGAGTATGACATTTTAATAAAAAAATTGGGAGGTCAAAAATAAATAACACAATGAAACATTCGTGGATAAAAAATCATTAACATGCATTTAGAAAATCGAGTCAATTTCCATTTCATGCCAAGTTTCATCCTTGCACACAAATACAGAGCACCAAACGTTATGGTATTTATGGAAGATTTTAATTAATGACAAAAAAAACCCAAAACAATGATTGTCTGAACATCAAACTTTAGCTTTTAGCTATCAATATTTATGGGACTGAACACATTTTATTAACACAGCAGAAGTGATATATTGTAACGTGTGCCCTAAACTAGGCCTACTCTTCAAACAGCTGATAGCACCGCATTCAATGTACATGTCTAAAAATAAAAGACAAACATAAGTTAAAAGTAAACCACACTTTCAACTAGGCAGTTAAAATATTGAATATATAGTGGTAAATCTGCCTTCGTTGTAACATCATAGCAACGTTTTACTTCAGAAAATGATTCATGGTGCGCCTCCGGCGAATATGAGCTCCAGGGCCGCTTGGATGTCTCCGCCGGTGGCCTGCAGGGCTCTCAGGATGAGCTCCTCATTACGGATGCCCATGTCCCGCAGCTGCTGGAGCTGCGACTGCCACTGATTCTACACATTATCAAACAGAGTCACTCCAGAATCAGTAATGCCACTTTACCAAAAAAACATTATATTGTGATCAGACTTCACTGCATATAAAAAGGAACAGGATGCATGCAACTCAAGCTGTGCTAACAGTCATAGGAAGAATGCATGCATTTTTCTGCGACATCTCTATTTGAAGGGCTGATGATGGACTCTATAAAGATGAATCTGGTGTAAAATGTCACTGGATGTCCGGTGGTTACTCACATGTAAGCTGGACATGCTGGACACCTGCAGGGCCTGCTGCAGTGCCTGGTTAAACAGGTTGTTGGTTATAGGAGTGCCTGCAGGGATTGGGGACACTCCTGAAGACGGACCCTGTCACAGATGTATTCGGTTTTCAAATTAGTTTATGCAAATCTAAAACATTTATAGACACATTGATGGTTACATTCCAGCTGATAACAATTATTATCATTACTATCTGTTAACTAGTTCTGATATTAAGGGGTCACAACATCGTTTTCAACTAAAAACTGAAAACTCTGTACGCGTTTTGGCCGCTCATTTACAAGAAAACAGAGTTTTGGCGGGCTGAAAATGCAAACTTTGGAAAACGGGTTTCAAAGTGCGAGTTTTTGAAAACGATGTAGTCTCAGTGTAAACTACAAAAACGCACATTTGTGAAAACGTTGCGCTTGTGTATTATATGTGTGCATAGATATGTGTGCATGTGCGTAGAGTTTCTTTACAAAGTGACATCGCCATCTACTGGCCTGGTATGAATAATACAGCATTTTTTGTCGTTTTCATAGATCCGTGTGAACTGGGATCGTTCTGATGTTTTGTCTGTACACAAAGCTTTTTCAAAAACACAAAGGAAACACATTTCTGTTTTTAGTGTATTGTTGTCATGTAAATGAACCCTACATTTTTATACTGCTTTAATTCAAATAAAAATAAAACGCTAAAAACTAAAACCTATCATTTATAAATTAAAGTGAATTTAGACATCGCAAAATGATAAAATACTGCATGAACAATTCATATTTATTTTGTGATCTGCTAAAGATTACATGTAACAGTGTTATGAAATGATTACGTTATTTCAGAATTGATAGTAATAAGACATTTTTCTTGAGCACCAAATCAGCATATTAGAATGAAGGCTGGAATAATGGCTGCTGAAAATTCAGCTTCACCATCGCAGGAATGAATGATTAAATTGTTAAAATTATTAAAAAAAGAAAACAAATAGAAAAAAGTTCATTTAAATTGTTATAATATTACTAAAATTATAACAGATATAACAAAATTTGATCAAATGCACCCTTGGTGTGCAAAGAGACTTTTTCAAAAAACTACAAAAACGCACATTTGTGAAAACGTTGCGCTTGTGTATTATATGTGTGCATAGATATGTGTGCATGTGCGTAGAGTTTCTTTACAAAGTGACATCGCCATCTACTGGCCTGGTATGAATAATACAGCATTTTTTGTCGTTTTCATAGATCCGTGTGAACTGGGATCGTTCTGATGTTTTGTCTGTACACAAAGCTTTTTCAAAAACACAAAGGAAACACATTTCTGTTTTTAGTGTATTGTTGTCATGTAAATGAACCCTACATTTTTATACTGCTTTAATTCAAATAAAAATAAAACGCTAAAAACTAAAACCTATCATTTATAAATTAAAGTGAATTTAGACATCGCAAAATGATAAAATACTGCATGAACAATTCATATTTATTTTGTGATCTGCTAAAGATTACATGTAACAGTGTTATGAAATGATTACGTTATTTCAGAATTGATAGTAATAAGACATTTTTCTTGAGCACCAAATCAGCATATTAGAATGAAGGCTGGAATAATGGCTGCTGAAAATTCAGCTTCACCATCGCAGGAATGAATGATTAAATTGTTAAAATTATTAAAAAAAGAAAACAAATAGAAAAAAGTTCATTTAAATTGTTATAATATTACTAAAATTATAACAGATATAACAAAATTTGATCAAATGCACCCTTGGTGTGCAAAGAGACTTTTTCAAAAACATTCAAAAAAATCTTACAACACCAAATGTTTGAATGGTTGTATACTTTTTGCCACATCTGCCAATGACTGATAACCAGACATAAATATTTTGTACTGGCCATGAAAAACAGTCTTTGCATTTTGATAACTGTGCCAAATAATTTTGCATTTTCCTGCACTGTTATAATTAATTTGAAAATGTTATTGGTCAATTGGCGAACAGTGTTGGGGGTAGTGCATTACAAGTAATGCGAGTTACGTAATCAGATTACTTTTTTCAAGTAACTAGTAAAGTAAGGCATTACTTTTAAATATCCAAGACAATAACTGCGTTACTTATTTGAAAAAGTAACTTGGTTATTTTCTTGGATATTTAAAAGTTACTTTTTTCTCATTAATTCACTAGCTATGTTTCCATTCAAAGATGCTAATTTTATGCGCAAAACTGGAATATCGCATTAAAAAATTGTGAATAAATCACCGTTTCATCCGAGAACTAAATCGTCACTTTCTAATAAACTGGCACTAAATATCTCTTAAGAAAACTAGGAGAAGCCACTGAATATAAACATTTTCATATATAATTAATTACTTGCGCCTCAGAGCGAGCAGATGTAACACAGTAAATGCAGTCATTGCTTTCAGAGCTGGATGCCTGCTGTTTGGGAACGCAGTTGTGTAAGACAATTATACAGAAATACTTTGATGACAGACATTCCTCAGGCATTTCAGAACGACCAAAACAACATGCTGATGCTGTGAACAAGATCGGTCCACTGGTTAGTCAAGTTATCCCGTCTCATAGTGCAAAGTCACATGACTTTTTCAATGCGCATGGTGGAATTTATTCGGTAAATGTGTTTCCATCGTAGTTTATGTGCAGTTTTTCTTATCGGATAAAAAGTTTTTCCTACTCAATTGTGCGCGTAAGTTTTTAATGCGCATTTTTAGAATTGATGTGCCATCTTGGTGTTTGCATCCAGCATTTTTTTATGTGATATTCCAAAATGTGCATAAAAATAGGTGGATGGAAACATAGTCACCGACACCTCTTCTGTTTGAGAGAAATTGGGGGTGAGGTGCAAAGGCACTTCTATCAGCCCTAATTTCTATTTTGATGTGAAAGGGCCTTTACAGTTGCCAAAAATATAACTTTAGTTTTTTTTTGTTATTAAAAACCCCAGCCCATTTGACAAAAAGTAACACAAAAGTAATGTAATGCATTACTTTCCATAAAAAGTAACTAGATAACACAATTAGTTATGTTTTATGCAGAAACGCAATATTGTAACGCATTACTATTAAAATACTGTTTAAAGTACTGTTTTATACTGACCAAAGCTTTATGTGCATTTGGTGCTTGATGAGTTATAATTTTAGGCCTGGTTGTGTATATATACATA